CGATTGTCAGTTGGCCAGTATTTATCCGTCCACTGCTGTCCACGTGCGTCTCAGTGTCGGCCACTCATTTCTGCCTTGGCTAAATTTCTGTGCTATCTTCTAACCACATCGCATTTTGGAGCATAGGCTATACCACCCGTTCTCAAGTCCATTCCCTCATTTTTCATGCCTCTGACATACAGTAATGATAAATAATGGTCTAATAGCCTACAGTTTTCTTGACATTTAGTTTTATTATTGTGATAGGCTCATGTTTTACCGGTACGGAGTACCCCCACTATTAGAGTACCGCCTTACTTTCACCCCTGGATATAAGTGGACAAACGTGGCATTTCAGCAAAAAACGCCTTTATATCGGAGTTGTGCCTGTTGTTTACACGCATATCTTCCCTTTCATTGGCTAGAATGGTCCCACCTGATCTCGCCTTCTCCGGCCTGCCTTCCATCTTTGAGGACATGTATTTCCATTGTTAGAGAGGACACTCGACTATCTTGTCAATATAATACAAAATATTTTTCGACACTCCATCTTAACTCCTCCTCCATATGCCACTACGGGTCTTTTCACAGTTCCCAAATCCAGAACAAATTCAAGAAAGCATACAGTATTATATAGAGCCATTATTGCATGGAATTCCGTTCCATCTCATATTGCTCAAATGAACAGCAAACCTGGTTAAAAAAAAAGAGAAAAAGCAACACTTCACGGCACAACGCCTCTCCCCTATTTGACCTAGATAGTTTGTGTGTATGTATTGATATGTAGGCTACATGTGCCTTCTATTTTATTCATTTACTATTGATATAGTTCTGTCCTTGAGCTGTTCTTGTCTATTAATGTTCTGTATTATGTCATGTTTCATGTTTTGTGTGGACCCCAGGAAGAGTAGCTGCTGCTTTTGCAACAGCTAATGGGGATCCTAATAAAATACCAAAATACCAATACTGGATTGGTTGAACAGTGCAGAAAATAACCTCCCCTGACAGTTTTTTTTTTCTCGTCAGGACCAGAAAGAAAGGAACACAGCTCAGGCATTTCTTTTACGTCTGCTACTTTAGGGTAGTGTCTACGAGGATACACTCTGCAGTCGATGAAACATATAAAAAGTGTGTGATAGCATTTTATAAATTGTATTTAATTTCAAATGAAGTAAAACAAATTTGTCTGTACATTATTATGTATATTATTTAAAAAATCCATGAGTAATGTAGCCTACATCGTATATTATTTTCCTTCTAACAGTTTGTAATTTAAAGGTCCTCAGATATTTTATAAGTGAGATATGTTTTTATAAGTGAAAGAATAAAGCAATGTCATAACCATAAAAAGAGTAGAGACAATAGATTTCATTCATGTTGAGTTTATTGATCATACAGCATGCCTTGATCCTTAACACTTTAAGGGATCCTTTCAGACAGACCAATAAAGAGCTGATTAATCACAAACAGAAGTTATCAATACTGAATTCAACGCTAACTTTGAAACCAACTTATTCACTTACTAGGCCTACATGATCCAGTCCCCCCAAAAAACTGCCTAACAAGAAGCTGCATAAGAGTGCCTTAGGGCCCCAGAGTCAGAGGACAAACTCAGACAGACACCAATCCCCCACTTGCCTGAACCCTGACTGATTAGTGTGTTTAAACTTCAGAGGATGTCATACAGGGGAAGCAACAGAAATAACCACATTCACCCAATTTGTTTCTCTACCACCCAATTGATTTAGGCTGTCAACGTTCTTAATAGCAGGTTTTGGTTGGTATTCAAGCAGGGGGTCCGTCTTCTTAACTTTTTTTTCACCAGACTGCAGTATCATCACAATCTCAGCTCCACTCCACTTAACATCTCTCCAGTCCTCTTGGTTTCTGGACTACAGCAACCTCTACTGTTCACCTCTCTTTATGTACACAATCACATCCTACAATCTGCTCCACTAACCATAATAACATACAAAAAGAAAACAGAAATTAGAATAATATTGGACTGATATGGTGTCACACTCTTTAAAGCAGAAGTTTATTGAACAGAGGTTGTGCAACAGACATTTCTGAGGTACATTATGTAATTTCTAGTGGAAGGGGGACAACTTAAGGGATATCCACGCTGTTGAAACACACTTCCTCATGTCAGATGCAGTATGTGGTAAGCTTTTTGATTGATTGGTTTAGCCATTTTGTATTGGTTTTCCAGACAATAGGACCTGGCACATACAGGTCAACTAAGCTCATCAAATCAAGCTTAGGAACCAAAATCTATCGACATTAATTGGTAGAAATCATGTAATCATCAATGATATTTGAGACATTTTCACATTTGTCTTTGCAATGAATGTCACGAGTCTCACAATTAGCACCACCATCAACTTAAACTGACCAAGGAAGTGTTGACTTGTTATTGTGCCCCCTCCACTACGGTTTAAGTCCAGGTGGGAGCCTTGCATGCTTGTCACTCAACGCGGTCAGTACATTTCACAACAGACAAACTCCTGTGCTTTCTACTATACTGTTACCCTTCCCAGGCTCCCTAAAAACTGTAGAGTTGTGAGGTATTCAGATATTATTTTTTTGTCCAGTAAACCTGAGGTATAGAGATACCGCATTTACAGAATGTGACTGAGAAAGTAGAGCGAAATAGATCAAAAGGAGAATAAACATGCTATCTAAGCAAACTGTACAAAGAACATTTCCAGTCGAATACTCATTTCATGTTCTTCTATTACCATCTACTCTGGTATTCTGAATGTATCTCTTAAGCAGTAAAATAATTATATTATAATACAAATGTTTATAAAATAGCAGCACACTCAAGTGACACATCACAACTAAGTAATGTAATTTTTTTGTATATAAGAATGAAACAAAATCTTAGCTTTTAGCAGCGCAAAAAGACAATAATAATAACTCAATAAAAATATTGACACTTTGATGTCTTCACACCTCTTCCATCTCTCTTCACTTTGGAATACAGTATCTAACCCCTTACAAACGCTCTACAAACTCTTTTGGGTCTGGAAACCCCATAAAATAAAACAAACACAAATTGGTGGTCTAAATACAAATTCAAACTTACACAGTCAACTACTTTGTAAAAACAAACAAATCCTAATCTATGCTCAGAATAGAGCTTGCAGGAAAAAAAAGGGCAGACATCCTTGACAATGATGAACAGGGGCTAGTTTTGGTGAGAGGTTGAAGATGGCCTTGTTTATAAGATTGGTTTCTAGAAAACGTTTTCCTGAAAAACATTTATTTTGAGTAGCCTGCTAAAACACTGAATCCTCATCTTCCCCTCATACCTACCACACATGCAAACACAAACAAACGTACGCACACCCACACACACAAAAACACACCAAAACCTTGATCCCCCTTTAAATGTAGCAATGAGAATTTTGCGTGATCAAGGCTACCTTGTGCTGGCGGTGTACCCTGTGTCTTGGAAGTTAATTAGTCTAATTCTGACGTCTGGGTAACTGATCGAACCCCATGCCAATTAAGTGACTGAAGCAGCAAATCTCACGGGAGGAGAGAGGTGTACATGCAGAGATAGAACTTTCATGGAATTTTATCAGTCAGGCCTGCACAGCCTCGGGGACATCACCAAAGACAACATACCAGGCTCTACTAGCAAAACCATCAATAAGGTAGCTTTGAACATAGAACAGCTTCATCTTTTTTAAAGAAAACCTAATTTGCCCTCAGAACATCAGATGTTCTACGATAACGTGTTCTGTATAGTTCCAACCTATGTGACTTTTTGTTGTTGCTGTGAAGCAGATCAAATAGAACATTCAAGTAGAACAAATATTTTATAATGTGGTAACTTCTCAAGTAAAAACAAAACAAGATCATAAACCTTGTCTGTAGCCTTTTTAAAATTAGCATTGGCATTAGTTATTTGTTAAAACACACGAAAAAATAATTCAGACGCCGCTTTCACCTTGCACTTTTTTAAATTTCGGAATGTTTTTAGATCGGAATGTCCTCATGTCATAAGGTGTTAGGCATTATTTTGACATCTGCTTGCCAAGGGGGTACATCTGAATGTGGGAAACCAGCCCTACAAAGAAAAAGCTAACAATGAAAACAGAAACATCCATAGATCCCACACCGTAACCATTTCATTTGTCCATTGGGGAGCGTGTTTTCAAAGTGCTTTGCTGTTTAAATCATAGGCGCGTTGAAACAACTCTATGAGGGACTACAGATGCATTGATCACAAATCTTCCCCTGCTCCAATACCTTTTTCTCTCCTCTAATGAACCCATAAAGTTCATTCTAAAATAATGAGCTGGCTGCGTAGTCTGGTTTTGATCCTAATTTGCCATCCGTGTGGCCTCAATCTGCCCAAAACGCAGAAATCAGATAGATATCATATGAGGCCTTTAGGCACCTCTCCTGTATCTTTCAGCAACTCGCCTACATCTCCTTCCACTACACAGCAGCATGCTTTCCCCAAGCCCCCCTACAACCACCACAGACCACAGGCCTCCACTCTCCTCTGAGATGATACTAATGCACCACCAAGAGGGGCACAAACTCCTCCCTACTGATGCTATGCAGCCTGAAGCTCCTTCCATAACTCCAAAAAAAACTAAACAATAACATAAAAATACAAACGCTATCTGCCGATATTTGATTGGTATGTTGGCAGTGAAAAACACAAACACCTCGAATGAAACTTCTGAAAGCAGACGGTCCACTGCAAACTCCTCTAGACCAAACGAGGGAACACAGCCGCCCCTCTCCCTCTTCATCTCTCAATCCCGCTCACCCACTAAGTGGACTCAGACCCCCAGCTTTTTGTCGGCCGACAATGCATATTAACTTAAGGCAGTGATATAACATAGATGCCCTGCAGAGAATGCATCTTCTGCCTGTTCCATAGTCTACCACTAGTCTTTCCACTCTAGCGCCAAGCCATAACACTTCCACCCACAAACACACAGTTGAGCTGATACAAAAATCACACATCATGGCAGTCACACACACTCACTCACTCACAAACACACAGATGCATGCGCACACACACACACACACACACACACACACTCACACACACACACACACACACACACACACACACAAACAATCAGCCTGACAAAAAGAGCTTATTGACGTCTATTACTCTGTATTCACAAATAAGTTTCTTAATAATAATAATAATAATAATAATAATTCACTATTATATACTTGGCTGTTCCCTGGACCCTACTTGTCTCTTTCTTAGTACAACACTCTGCAATTCCTGCAAAATGCTCCCCTCGTCACCAACACACAGCCAAACCATGCCACGTTGAGACCTGCCATTCACGGTCAGCGGAGCCCTTATTGGGCTCCTATCTCAGGCAGACCAACATGAACCAAAATAATGAACAAAACAAAACAGAAAAACCTTGCCCCGATTGTGATCCCATATATGCAAGCCTCGAATGGTCTCCCCACACCTTTTTTTATGCCTTATTAAGCTATTGTTTTCTTATTCGATATAACTTTATTATGACTATACAATCAAAAACAGAACGCAACATATAATTGGCTTGCCTTCTGTTTATCTGAAGCACCACAGAGCGTCCTTATATCCATTTTATATCTAAAAATAGCTTTCATTTCGTACAATACATGGGCACATGTTTTTATATTACAAAATTAAAAAAATATCCACAAAAATTAGCAAGCACTTTTTTTAAGGGGTAGTTTGTTTTTTGTCGTTTTAGTTTTTTGTCGTTTTTTATGTTGATTTGATGCGTATTCCGGATGCGCTACTGCTCTTTGCAGGCTCACAAGTTGATGTCGCGAACATCCGTTGGGGTGCTGGACTGATCCAGCTCGTCCATGGTCTTACTGCTGGGGCCACGCTGGACCTGCTGCTGCTGCTGCTGTTGCTGCCCTTCACGCAGGCTGCTCACCAAGACCCTCTCTATCTGCTCCTGACACTCCTTCAGACAGTCCTGCAACACACAACCAAACAGACATGTCCGTCAATATAGGAACAGTGCACAGTACACATGGATATGCAAATACAGTCAGACTCAGACAGACACACATGTGCATGCACATACACACACACAAACATATCATTCCACAAATACAATAACCTTCCAAATTATAGCCAAAGCAAACATTGGAATATTTTGTAGATTACTGGATCAATATATAGTGTCACAGCCACTTATCTGCCTGTTATTTTATAAGGTTACTTATCCTTTCCATAATCCACAGCCCCAGCCCTGACAGAACAGAAGTGATACTGACACAGACCTTCAGTCTCCTGACTGGATGACCGCTACCCTGCCTGCCGCCCCCACAGACAGCTAAGTCTGAGCGGAGAAGAGGACCAGGCCAAGCATTACCTCAGCCCACTATGGCCCAGCACTGAACGCCTCCCCCATCCCCCTATTCATCCCACACACACACACAACACACCAGTAGCCTTGACAACGGTGAAAACACAGGTATAGGCCCCAGTACTGAAGCTAAGCTATGTTAATTACATCCACGTCCTGTGGGAACACAAAGGTGGTGCTTTTTTTAACGAGAGCCAGTCTCTGCCTGCAGGGGGCCACCTGAGAGCCAGGCAGATCGGTTTCAGCATCAAAGAGAGCCGGCAGAACCTGAGAATCCTCCAGAGAAAGCACCCTCTCAACAGCCCTGAGCCCCCCATCAGCCTGCTGTGGCCCCAAGGTTCAGCTCTCAGGTTGGAAGTATTAGAGAGGAAGAGTTCTGATCTGACTATTAACATAAGAGTGCCCTGTAATAACTACGCTTATGGCTTGCAGTCTATGACACTGCTGCCCTCTGGTGGTTTAAAACAGTAATGCACCCTCAGCCATCCCTCCCCTTGTCCTCTGTTGGTTTTAAAGGCCCAATGCACCTGTTTTTATGTCAATATCAAATCATTGCTAGGTAATTAAGTACCTTACTGTAATAGTTTTCCATTCAAATTGTCAAACATAATTTTTAAAAAGCTAACATTTTGCTAAGACTGTCTGGGTGAGAGGAAAACTGAACCTATCTGTTATTGGCAGAGAGATTTGGAACTATTTGTTATTGGTTTATTAACTAACATAGCGCCTGGTGATATCACCAGGCAAGCCAAAACCCTACCCATGCAAAACTTGCTGATTAGAAGGTCATGTGTAGATTGTATTTTCATACAGCAACTATCAGGAAAAAACACTGATCAAATGTTTTCACACTTTTCATCAGCTGTTGTACAATATGATACAAAACACAGGCAAAACTGCATTTTGACTGCACTGGGCCTTTAAGCACAGGGGTGGCTGTGGGAAATATTCCTGAGAGAGCCCCATGGCCAGAAGCTTGTGGAGAGGGGAACATTCCTTTGACATTTACAGGTAATTTAAACCTGATGGGCCACAGTTTGAACCTGTGTTATGGCTTCTGGGCCTGGGCAAGTGTTGCCTGCTGCCTTGGTGAAATGAGAACAGAGGCCTATCACATGGGAATTGCTCCTCAGGAGTTGAATACGGCTGAGTGACGAAAGGTCACCGTGTCAAAGGTCACAATGCCAAAATCTCCAGGAAAAGCCTTAAGCTAACGAATGCTAAATCTATAATACACTACTTAGGCTAGATTAAGTGAGCATATTGAATTACTTTGTAAATAATTCATTAATTACTCAAAAAATAATTAGAATTCTGTATTTGGGCCCAATTGAGGACAAGGCAAATGTATCAGATCAATGGGCTTACCTAAATACCTAAATAACAGTTAAGACTCAATACATTTCTTCTATTTTCGACCTATAGTGGACCTGGATGGGGACAGGGCTAGGGTTAGTGGGCCCAGCGTCCCCATAATCTGCTCCAGAGGTCCCCAACTTCCCACCAACATGTGCTTCATTAGTTGTAAAAATAAAAAAAATGCTCAGAGAAAATGTACTAAAGCACAAAACATGTAAAGGAACTGCCCGTGTTTTACCGCAAGAATGCAGGCCTTTACTTCTTAAAAGACATTCCCCTCTCTGATGCTCTTTAAAGCTGCAGATCGGACCCAATGCCAAGGCCCGCAGGCTTAATTTGAGAACCTTTAATGGCTTCAATGTGTGACTACTGGAAACACCAATATTGTTTTCAGATAGGTTTTTAGGTATTTAGATACAAAGGAAGGCAGCGCTGGGAATACACTGGGAACAAAGTAGGAATTTTGTCCCCATTCCCCCACTCCCACCCCTTAAGTCAAGTCTGACACCAACAGGCTCCTAAACAGCTTCTATCCCCAAGCCATAAGACTGCTAAATCGCTAACAAAATGGCTACATGTAGCTACATCTGAGTTGACCCTTGTATTCGATTTTTGCACTGTCTCTATGCACACTCACAGGACTCTACACACTCACACACACTGACACACGCACGCACGCACACACACTCACTTCATTTGCTCACACACACATTACATGCACACACATTTATACTGACTCTACACATACGCACACCCACTCACAATCATCATATGCGCTGCTGCTACTCTGTTTATCATATCTCCTGATGCCTAGTCACCTTACCCCAATATATACAGTATCTACCTCTATCACTCCAGTATCCCTGCACATTGTAAATATGGTACTGGAACTGAACCTGGAACTGACCCTGGAACTGACCCTGTATATAGTATGCTTACTTCTCGTGTTCTTCTTATTTTTATTTATTGTGTGTTTTTGTTCTACCTTGTTATTCTTAGTATTACATTGGTATTGTTGACTTTATTGTTGGGTTTAGAGCTAGCAAGAAAGGCATTTCACTCTACTAGTGCATGTGACATTAAAACCTGAAACTGAACTCCACCCAAAGACATCCATATGTATTAAGATGATTTTGACAGACAAATCAAACAACAATGTGAGGAGGAACCACGCTGCTCGGGTTATCCATATGCATCCATTGTGACGTCACAGAGCCCAAAGGAGGAAGTCGAGCAAACAGCCAAAACCAGAGGAAGAAATCTGTGAAACCATGGAATTTCTTAACTACTGTACCAGACTAGGCAGTGCTACTCTGTGCAGAGACAGCGGTTGAGACAGCATGGTGTGTGTTTGTGTGTGTGTGTTTAGGAGGGGTGTCATGCCATACCCTGGAGGCGGTCAGCCCAACCCATGACCCGATGTAGAACCCATAACCCATGACCCATGACCCCATGTTGAGCAATGTCATGTTTGAGCATCACAAGTTGCTATCCCATTCCCTTTGGCTATATTTCACATTCATAGACACATCGTTGTTCAATATAATACAATACCAGATTAAATTAGAAACAACTTTGGCTAAGAGAAGATCTCAATGTGAGTCAGGAGGGGTGGATGATGAGTGGAGGGGCGCAGGAAGGGAAGAAAAGGGGGAGAGAGGGTCAGGGAAAGAATGAAAGGGCTGTGGAGGACAGGGGTGTGTGTGTGTTTCCTGTGTCCTGGTGAGCTACTCTGAGAGAAAAGATGAATGGGAGAGAGTGAGAGTGGATGCTTGCCAAGAAAAGCAGACAAAAACGAGGAAACAGTATTCTAGCCCCTCCATCTCCCCCTTCCTCTCTTCCTGTCTCAGCCTGCTGTGTGCTAGAACAGAGAAGGACCTTCTGTGCTTTGAGCTTCAATGGAAGTTTCAGATGAACTGAGTTACAGTACGTTTTCTGTCAAACCAGTTTCTATAGTCCTACCTTTCGCTAGCAATGCTTTTGGCTTCTTGGATGTTGAGAATCAAAACAGACGCACCAAATGGCCGACGGTAGCAGCGTAGATCTGTCAGCAAAACCCCAGCAACAGAGAATCCCTCAGGTCTTACAGGAATCACAACAAATCGAAACCTCCTAGAAACACAGTTTTCATTCTTCCTCCCCGCCAGCCTCTTGCCCATCATGGCTTGGCGTGAAGGCTCACCAACCGGCTGCTGTGCCTGACAGGCTGCTTTCTGTGCCACACCAGGTGTATCTAAGGCTATACTCAAATTCCTCTGGGCGGCGGCAGGCGGCGCGAGACGGTGACTTGGCCCCATCGCATGTCCACTCTGAAAACCACAGGCTCTGGATACCACAGATGACTGTGGGGTGCCAGGGGGTGGTGTTGGCATCGGCAGCCAGGCTTTACTTCATATTTTGCCTGGCCATCTCCATCCCAGCTCCGTGCCATCTCCCCAGCCAGCACGCCAAACCAAATGTGTGTATACTTTTATCCTCCGTTTCATACCACACTGATGACTGTGTTCAAATTGATAATTGTGGTAGTGGTAGCCATTATGATTGAAGCGTTCAAATTGATAATTGAGGAGGTGGTAGCCATTAGGATTGAAGCATTAAGTGATTGAGCTTGGAAAAGGTGGGGTAAGAGTGAAATGACACAGCCCGCAATCACCAACTCCTCTTCTGCTGTTATAGCGAGACCATAGACAGAGCAGTGCTAAGTAATCGTCAAGCATCTTCTTTCCAAAAATGCTTTTCTGGCAGACTAGTCTACTGTAGCAGCGTTGTGCTAAAACTCCTCAGACTCGTGGTATACGTTGCATCACAAGGGCGGCCCTGCTCTGGTGTTTTCTGAATCCATGGCCTGTCTGTATCCAGGAATGTGAGGATCATGGAGCCAGCAGTCAACTCCCTTGCCTCAGACCTCACACCCCTGGGTCCCAACACACACACGAGGGCCTGTGCTGCTCAGGCCAGCTATTTGTTTTTCCTCGGCTACGGAGCAAGACTTCACACAGCACACAGTGGGGAGGGAGCCTCTCCAGCAGAGATGCATTATTGGGCATGAGAGAGAGGGGGTAATCATCGCAAGTGAGGCGGGACACTGGCCATGCTTCCCTGGTGTCCCTTTTCACACTTCAACTGCTTTCTCCCCTCCTATCCTCCTCTCCCACAGCGGGACTCTCCCACAGCGGGACAGGCCTTGTGAAGCTCAGAGTCTGTCTCTTGCTCTGTCTGGCAGTCAGTTTAGCAGGAGAGGGCCAGCCAGAACAGAGGCCCATGCAGCTCAGGCAGACTCGGCCCCCCACCCTCATGCCCCCAGGTCTCCTCTCCCCCCAAGCCACAGCAGGGTGGACTGGCCTTACAGGCCCCCAGTCAGGACAAAGCAGGCAGCCCTCAGGTCACTCAGTCCGGCCTCACAGGAGGAGGAATGCCCACAACACATGACCCAGGAATGTTAGGATGCTACTGACAGACGAGGTTAGAGCTTGCCATCAGGGAGTCTGCCCCGTACACCCGCCCTCCCTCACCTACCCCCATCCTGCAGTCCCTTCCCCCATCCCCACCCCTGCAGCTAACCCAGCTAGCTCCCCCCGCTCTCCTGACGAAAGCTAGGCGCAGGAGCCAGCTGAGGCCCAGTCTGCCTGCCTGCCTGTGTTTGGACTGAGCACCCCTCCACCACCACCCCGCCACAGTGCTGCTCTACCCCCAGAGCCACACATAGGGCGGCCTGGCCTGGCTCTGCTTCCCCAGTTTGCGTGGATTAACAGCTCTTTTATGTCAGGGACCTGCAAGGCCGTGTGCTGCTGCCTGGGCTGTCAGAAACTAACCTGGATTGAAGGGGGAAATCACAGGATGACATCTCACCACCTTTGCATAGCAACTCCATGCAGACGTGACATGTGACCTTTTGGGATGAATTAGGTGGAACGTGAGCTACGTCTAGATTTACAGACCCAGTCAAAGGCTGTCTATCAATCGTAATCAGTGGTTGAGGTATTTCTGTATGGGCTGGTTTTGCAGGAGATGCTGATTGGCTGAAGAGATCAAAGACTTAGTGGTGGTTCAACTTTGACTCACATATAGGCCTTGACTCATATATTTCAAATAAACTTTACTGTAAGTGTAGGTCCTCAGATATACCCAACTGAATAATGCTTCTGAGAAAGAGTCCGTGAGTAGACGTCAACCTCTGCTCTTACTCATACTGATTAGGCTGAGAAGATAACTCGAAAAAAAACATTCTCTCAAATCAGATTTGGACAGAAACACAGGTCACTCACCACTTCAGTGTTGGTGATTTTGGCCAGCAGGTCTGTGAGACTGTCCCCCCACTGTGACTGGTCACCCGAGTCCAACTGGAGGCCACAGATAGCCGCTCCCACACTGCCTGTGGCGATCATGGATGGGGGGTACATTGCGAAGTTGAAGTCTGTTGGAGGACAAAAAACATGCTGATTATTCTAAGGCTACATGGCTGTAATGGAGGAAGCATTTGTCCATCTGCTCAAAAACAGTTCTATAGAGGTAAAACTGATTTAAAAAGGGTACCCAGCAGTAAATCTATAAAACATGTCAATTTTAGAGATCCATATCCCCAGTTCAAACACCTTTACACTGATCCCCACTTCCAGAGATACACACCACACACACACTACAGGTGAGTCATCAAATGCCACTACATTTAATGCATTTAATGAGTGAGACGTGAATAATTTTCTTCAAGGGACACAATAGGGGTACAGACAGACACTCCCCCTAGAGACAATTTGATTGGCTAATCTGGCAGTCATAAATAATCCTCTTTAGCTCTGGCTCCCACTAATGACCAGGGCCCTGTGTAATGAGGTTGTAAAAGAGCTGAAAGCAAACCCCAAACCCCCCTGCTCCTCCACCCTTCTGCGCCAGTCACCTTCCCTGGTCCGGCCCCTTTTCTTCCAGCTCCTGAGTAAACCGTGTGCTGGCTGAAAAAAGCCCCATAGCGCTTAGAAAGGGTGGAATAAAGAGCCACAGTCCCTTTGCCAATGCTCACTGCTGTAGGTCCTTTTTCCACGTGTGGTCGCAGGCGTGCGTCTCAAAGACCAATAACCTTGTTAGCTCCCCTCACTGTCATTCATAATGCAAATAAGACAGCTTGTGAACGGGCCAGGAGACCAGGAAGGGAGAAAAAAATAATTATACTCCTTTAAGTCTGTCCCCCCCCCCCCCCCCCCCCCCCCCCAAGTTTCAATTCCCTCTTTCTATCGCTCCACTGTCTATCTCTCTTTCCAGAAACAAGCTGGTTGGGGTGACTGAATGGCACACATGCCCAGCTCTTTGTTGCTACAACAGCCAGTGATTTGTACTAGCGGAGCTCCTATTTTTTCTGCATATTAATTGAGTGCAGCCAGTGGCAGGCCTGAGAGAGGAAAGGCAGGTGAGTGTGGCGCCATTGTCTGAAATCATCACCTCATCTCACCCAATTGAGAGACCCGGCAACAGACCCTCTCCACTGATACCAATTCAATCCGACGGCTGTACAAAGAGTAGTGGAGCGGGTGACTGTGGGGCTGGGGACAGTAGGGACAAGGGGGGGAGTAGGCGACAAGGAGGGAGGGGTGGGGGTGATGGGGGACAACGCTCTGCTGCACATTGCTCTCTAGTCTGTGTCCAGACCCTTGTGAGTTTTTGGAAGAAGAAAAATGTCCCCCTCCCTCCCACCTCCCTTCTCCCCCCACAGCTTTTGCACTGTAGCCGGACCACCTATGGGCGAGTAGTGGACAGGGCCATAGAGAAACAGCCGGCGCATTTACATATTGTCATATTCAACAGCAATAGCAAACTGTGTGAGAGAGAGACGGCTCTGAAGGGGAGGTCTTACTTTTCTCTTTTTTCTCTCTCCAAATCAAAGAGATAGGTCCTTTGACAGCTACTGCAGCAGCCTTTTTAACATGCAGAGCCAGGCGCTTTCTCATGTTGTGGCTCAGTGTTGACAAATAAATGAACTTATTATACACCCCTGTGTTAGCTGCTGGGCCACTGCCACGGGCCGATTTATTAAAGACAACCTCCAGCCAACAGGAACGAGGGCAGAGAGCCCAGAGCATTACATCACGACTTTAACAGCAGAGCTTTCTATAGTGAAAAAAGGACTAAGACCTACATGGACCTATTGTAAGCCTATATGTGTGCACACGCGGGCACGGACACACACAATAAGCAAGGGGCCTAAGTGGAGCAGTGGGCAGCAAGCAGATTTTTGGCCCCGGAGGACAAGACAGGTCTGTTGTAGAACAAGGGGCATACGCGTGCAGCCGACGGAGGCTGCCACTCTGGGGCTGGTGGGTCAGTGGTGGCTGCTGCGAGTAGTGGGGAAGAATGGTCGTATTTTAGGCTAGCCTCATTGATATTCATGCAGAGGATAAACAGTGTATATAGCTGAGTGGGAACGCCTGCAATGGAAAGCTCCCTGTGAGCAGCGGCTGGCTGGCCCAGCCTTCAGGCCTCTCACCCCCTTCAATGGCCCTTTCTCCTCCCCCCTCCACAGCATCCATCCCCAGGCCTTCTCTCCACTCCACTCTGCTCACCCTGCCTGCCTGGCCTGCCATGCTCACCAGGGCCAACTCCTGGGTGGGTGAGATGCACTGTATACACATTTAAACTTGAGTAACAGCCAAAAAGTAAAGAAGAAAAAAAGTATAGTGCAATAAATCAAGAGCCTGTGTTCTATACAGATGTAAAGCTTATTTATGTATTTTTTACTAGGTTCCATTTTGAGGACCTGGGCCCTATTGATTGATTAAGGTCATAGACAAACATCATTTTGGGCCTGGTATTATGCTGTTTCTCACCACTAATGGAGTGGACCAGGTAGTCAAAACAACGTTTACAGACGTTTAGTTAGACTGTAAACTAGCATGGGTTAGAGAGATCAGGCACTACAAGCTTCACAACTGTGAACTTTGACTTTTATTGCAGTATGCTTACTACTGCAGCATAGAAAGAGAGCGTTCCTTTTCTAGGAAATATTCATCTGACAATCTTATCTTAGCAGGTTTCATAACTTTGCCTATTCCATAATAGCAGATCTACTCCAACTGAAAACAATTAACCCTGAAAGAAGAAATTAGTTTGGGTCACCACAGCACAGCCCCAAAGGCACAGTGATTTGCCAGAAACAAAAACAGGAATCCTCCTTAACGGTTGGATCCTGTAACAACTTGCTTCAGTGTTGCACCACCGTGACCCAGAGACTTGAGCAACAGCACTCTGGCCTAGCGTGGGAGGACGCAGACCCCTCCAAGCTGGAAGAATATGAATTGGCAGCTTTCGTTTGGAGGCCAGTTAGAATCCCTCATCCCTGGCTTTCTGTTGTTGTGTTTTGTTTCCAGACAGGATTCAACCGATAAGATTGGATAAACAGCTGACCGACGCATCTTTACCCAGAAACCCCAGCTGTGCTCAGGGAGACTTCTCATGTCATGAGAACATCATTCAGGTCAAACTCAAAACCCACCAGCCACTAACATTTACTTTACTTCCAAACCTCAGATGTTATTCCTTGTGGTTAATGTCTGTCCACTTATAAAATAACTCATAACATACAAGTAGGTAGAGGTTCAAACCAAAGACTTGCTAGGACAACTGCAACGTCTACAAATGAATTCCTTTCCCTTATGGTGGATGTATGGACAAACTGCTCCCAGTCCTTCAGATGAGGTGTTGATTACCACAGTGAAGTGAGGCTACCTCAGGACATACCATTCTATGACACACCGTGTAACACATTCCTGTGTGCATACTGTGAGAAAGCTTCCTCCAGCCTCAAGGATGGATGCTGCAGACATCAATGGAGTTGGAGCGGACGGAGAGAGAGAGAGGATCATTGGTTGGAGGAGAAGGAGGAGGGTAATTCATTGGATGCTCTGACTAATCAAATCGGAAGCTTTTTCAGTCAACAAACACTGGTAATAAAGATGAAAGACCTCCGCCATGCAGTCCAGTGGAGTCTGAATCACATCTCACTAGAGAAGTTAAGGGACTCTCCAACTCTCCATCCAACAGGCATTCAGGAAGAAAACAAGAGGGCAGATTCAAGAGGGCAATACCTAAACACTGACTCTCCCTACCTACAGGAGAAACCTATTTCCACTGTATTCTACACTCTAATCAAGTGCTAGGGGAGCCAAGAGTGTCCAAACAGGCTAACTGACATCCTGATGGGGTCTAAAGGATCCATTGTGTTCCTCCATCTTGCCTATTAATGAGAGTGGACTTCAGGTGTTCGTGACCCACTAGTTTAGGTTCACGGTCACCCTAACTTCTGTCAAAGCCACATCTCCTTGCATGTTACAGCAGGTCTCTTCAACATGTTTGACCACAGCGTGGTCTCTCTCAAGATGACTCTAGTAAAGTAGTAGGATAGATCTGATTACCATCAGACATGTTCAGGCCTATCTGTTTTGTTCCCCAACCCCTTCTTTATATCTATTGAAAGAGAACGAGACAAGAGACCAGGGGGGAGGGGGGAAACATGGGGACAAGGAGTGCTTGGTGTCTCTGTGGAAGAAGGAGGCCATAATCTCTCTTAATGAGCTTGTTTCTCCACCATTATCCTGTAGGCTGCCCCGGGGAGAAGCTGGTGTTTCCTATCAAGTGCCCCTGCTGTGCTGACCCTTACATGCCTGTGCATATGAAATGTAGGGCCAGCTCTTTGTCTCTTTTCTCCCGGGCTCTAGCAGAGCCCTAGACTATTTGCATAGTGCTGAATGGACCCTCCCGCGTTAATAATTAATACTGAAACGACCTGCGCCGCCCGGCCCGCCACCACCTGACCAAATCCCCACCGAGTGCCTCGAACTGAACTTTTCCATCAAAAGAGAGGAACCATTAAAAATGAGAGGCTTTTTTGTCTCTCCACCTCTCCTCTCTCTTTCTCTCGCTCCCTCGAAAACAGAAGGCTTGGTTTATGCAAGTTTCCCAAGAAGAGGGGGTGGAGGTGGGGGTGAGTTCAATCTCTTCTATGCATGAAATACTGAGGCCCCAGGTGATCCTTTGTCAACTCTCTTGCAAATAGCAAAGCCTTAGAAACCTCCTCCTCCAGCTTCACCTTCTCAGCATGTTTGGAGGGGGATTCTCAGGGAGGATTCTCACCAGATAGTTTAGTTGATTTATGGCTGGGAACGTTGCACAAAATGGGTTTTGAATTCCCAGAGATCTTCAGATGCAACAAATTCTTCAACTCGCTCTTTGCCTGGATGGCAAAATGGCCTGCTGCTAATCCCAGTTATCTGCAGCAAGGCTCCCTTCTACAAGACGTCAAGAAGACATCTTCCTCCACGAGGCTCGTAAATGTATATCCACTGCCTCATTGAAGCAATTAAGGACAAAGTGCACTGGGAGCCTTGCACAATGTTGCTTTGGGAATAGGTCCGATCACTGACACAGTCGTTCCTCACAGTAATCTCTCCATTGGCACAGAAGAGAAAGAAGGAGAAAATGAGGAAGAAAGAGCGAGAAAGAGAGAGAGGTAGAAAGAGAGAGAGGTAGGAAGAGAGAGAGAGAGAAAGAGAGAGAGAGAGAGAGAGAGAGAGAGATGGAAAATTCCATGTCTTCAATGGGACTTGGGACAGTTCCCATGGAGACCATCTATGTGCTCCGTCTTTCACAACATACAATATAAATTGCACAATCAAAAAAGGGATCCACGTCAAAAGTGGCATGTTTAGAGACCTGTCACCCTAGCTCCCTTCCATCCATCCATACACACACTCCTCTAACATCACATGGATCTCACCCATAAGGGAGTATAGGAGCATTCCTGTGGGGCCAGAGGTGGGACACTGGGGTGGAGTCCAGGGGGAGCCTTGCTGCAGCTCTGGATCCCTGCTGGGGTGTGTGCTGGCAGAACCTGCCCCACAAACACTCCCTGAACATGGGAAATTCATCATGCCCTCAAGCAGTAGGGAGGCGTGAGAAGATGGGGAGACGGAGAGAGAGATGACAACATGACATGCCTCACTATTGGGCACTGCAGGAACAATATACTCCTCCTCTTTCTCTTTTTTGCTCTCCCCCTCCTCCTCTCCGGTTCTTCAGATCATATCTCCTGTCACTCCCACGGCTCGATGTTTGATCTTAAAGAAACAATCCAACCTGGAGAGCAGAGGAGACAATGTCCAGTCCCCACTCCCGTCAGATCCTCCCTCGGTCCTGGAGCACACGGGAACACGCAAATGTCCCTTAAACCAGGCCGCTGCCCTTTGAAGTGTCACTCCATTCTCTGTTAGCCATTGATATGCCTCTAGAACATGGCCGCCACAGCCGCCACAGCCGGGAGAGAGAAACATGATGGACGTGGACATGAGACTGTCACAGAGACACGTCCTCCATGACACATGCTTTTCTAAGCCCCACATATTTTCACAAGGAGGTAATATATCTCACTTAAGTTATAAGGCGTCACGACACTGCATGACGGGCCCACAAAGCCACCTGAATGGGGCTCGTCCAGTCATTGTTGATCAGAATAGGATTTTGATTTCACGTAGAGAGGAGAGACAAGGATATTTTGCAACAGCCACAACTGACGCAAGACATCAGCACCTAATTGACTTGGCAGCACATCCGTTATCGCTCTGACTTGCAAAATGTGGCTCGGGAGCCACAAAAATGAACACAAGCCAAAAGTGATATGAGATGGCAACCCACATCCCCATTGGCTCATCTTTTGATAATATACATTTTTCTAATCAAATGCTATCCTTGTCCCCCAGTGAGAATTATTTCCTGTCGTACCTGTAGCACAGAGGGCGATGAAGGTCTGCACGTGTTTGCGTATCAGCACTAACTTCTCCTCGGGCAACGGCAGCTTCCTCACAATGTGTTCTATGAAGTCATTTGGAGTGACAGCCGCCAGGTTCCACTTCAACTTCCCCAGCACCACCAGCTCCCACTCCTAAAACAGAAAGTGAGAGAGAGAGAGAGAGAGAGAGAGAGAGAGAGAGAGAGAGAGAGAGAGAGAGAGAGAGAGACTGTGTTAGGATGTTAGAGGCTATTAGGCTAAACATTCTGTATATCCATGGCACCACCCTAGCTGAGACCGAGCCAGGCCCGAGGAGGCTGTACTGTTTGTGGCAGGCTGTCTCTGTGCCTGTGTGAGCCTACCCTGGCCTACACAGCACAGAGGGTGGAGTGGTTGAGAAGAGAAAGATTGCTATTATATTACTCTCCCTGGCTAGGAAAGAGCAACGCAGGCTGGCTGAGGCAACAGCAGCTCTGACACACGAACGCAGGTGACCTCACGACATCGTCTAGTCGTCTGGCATCTGGGACTTTCCTCAGGAGAGACCTGAGAGGTCTGGGTATTGGATTGGGGTGGAGGGGGGTTGGACGGGGACTCTGAGACTAGCTCTCACTAACATGCTCAAGCCAACAGAGGCAATGAATGGGTTCCTAGCTATATGGCTGACCTTTTGGTCAACGATCTATGCAGAATGAATTACACAGTATCAATTTTACATGTACAAATGCATGACAAAACGCAGAGCAAATAGGTTAGCACAGGATAGCATAGTTTGACCTTCTACATGACCTGTTGGAAGCCATTACATTTTACCACAGTTATGGCCTGCTTTGCTACTTTGGGCACCTAGCAATTCATTACACCCTGTCACGATCGTCGACTGAAGACACGGACCAAGGCGCAGCGTGATAAGCGTAAATTTTTTTATTAACGTACTTAACGACAAAACAACAAACAAAACGATACGTGAAGTCCTAGGTTAATACAAAACAAACCTTGTGGACAGAAGATCCCACCATAAGAGGACCAAGCAGCGTGCCCAGGAGGAGAAGATGGCGATGTCGCAGGTGGGCAAATGGTGGTCTTGGGAGGAGATCTTCGCGGGCAGAGGGCCATGGGCAAATGTAAATGCCCAGGCAGGAGAGGAGAAACGGCGCCAATCGCGCCGACGACGGACACGCGAGGGGCAACCCCAAGAACATTTTTGGGGGGGGGGGCACACGGCGTGGATGACGGGGCAGCAGGAGGCAGCAACAGGGCGAATCTGCGGACTAGGAGAGGAGGCCACCAGGTTACGGGGGCTATTGGTCATGAGGGAGAGGGAGAGTGTAGAGGCACGGCGAGAGGAACTGGTTAGGCAGCAGAGGGAGCGGAGGTTTAGAAGGAAACCCAGTCCCGCTCCTCGCACCAAGCAAGTGGTGTGTGTCACCAGTCCGGTCCGGCCCGTTCCTGATTCCTGCACAAGGCCAGTGGTGTGTGTTCCCAGTACGATCCGGCCCGTTCCTGCTCCCCGCACTAAGCCTGTGGTGCGCGTCGCCAGCCCGGTCCGGCCTGTTCCTGTCCCTCGCACCAAGCCTGTGGTGCGCGTCGCCAGCCCGGTCCGGCCTGTTCCTGTCCCTCGCACCAAGCCTGTGGTGCGCGTCGCCAGCCCGGTCCGGCCTGTTCCTGCCCCTCGCACCAAGGCAGTGGTGCGCGTCGCCAGCCCGGTCCGGCCTGTTCCTGCTCCCCGCACCAAGCCAGTGGTGCGCGTCGCCAGCCCGGTCCGGCCTGTTCCTGTCCCTCGCACCAAGCCTGTGGTGCACGTCGCCAGCCCGGTCCGGCCTGTTCCTGGTCCTCGCACCAAGCCTGTGGTGCGCGTCGCCAGCCCGGTCCGGCCTGTTCCTGCTCCCCGCACCAAGCCAGTGGTGCGCGTCGTCAGGCCGGTCCGGCCCGTTCCTGCTCCCCGCACCAAGCCAGTGGTGCGCGTCGTCAGCCCGGTCCGGCCCGTTCCTGCTCACCGCACCAAGCCAGTGGTGCGCGTCGTCAGCCCGGTCCGGCTCGTTCCTGCTCCCCGCACCAAGCCAGTGGTGCGCGTCGTCAGCCCGGTCCGGCCCGTTCCTGCTCCCCGCACCAAGCCAGTGGTGCGTGTGTCCAGTCCGGCACGGCCCGTGCCTGTTCCACCGGTGCCTGGTCCGGCACCGGTCAGCTGCTCCACTCCGGAGCCAGAGCAATCCGCTCCACCGGTGTCCAGTCCAGCTCCGGCCAGCGGGGCCAGACCAGATCAGGGGCACAACGGGGGGGTGGAGAGAGAGTGGTGGTCACGCCCGGAGCCGGATCCGCCTCCGAGGCGGAATGCCCACCCGGCCCCTACCCTCTTGTGTTTGTGGGGCGCGGTCGCAGTCCGCGCCTTTGGGGGGGGGGTACTGTCACGCCCTGGCTCTGGGGACTCTTATATGTTGAGCCAGGGTGTGGATTTTCTATGTTTTGTTTTCTATGTTTTTGTTTCTAGATCGTGTTGATCTATGTTGGCCAGGGTGGTTCCCAATCAGAGACAGCTGTAGCTCGTTGTCTCTGATTGGGGACCATACTTAGGCAGCCTGTTGGCACCAGTTTATTTGTGGGATCTTGTTCCGTTTGGTTTGTTGTGTATAACCTAGGACTTCACGTATCGTTTGTTTGTTGTTTTTGTTCGTGTAAGTACAATTAAAGTATGTACGCTTATCACGCTGCGCCTTGGTCCGTGTCTTCAGTCGACGATCGTGACACACCCCATCTAAATGCACATTGCCGCTGGCTCTGTATTCGATAATGTTAAACAAATGCCAAACTGAGCTAATTTACAACGATTTACAGCTCACCTGGCACACAGACAAAACAACTGTATACCTAATGTTTGACATGAACAGCATAAAAGGAGAGGCTTTGAATAAAATAATTAGCTTAACTATAAACGACAGATTCACCAGACCTAATCAACTTTAACTTGTTCAACTGTGCGCTGTAGCCTCAACTGCCCTTTCCCAATGTCTATAAGTATAATTACATTTAGGCCTAGCTTAACTTACATGGTTTTATTTTTCTTGGGGGGGGGGGGGGGGGAGCTTATGTTTGAGTTGTATGGTTGCCCTCGTTTCTTAGAGAAGAAAGGGTGAGTAACGGAATGAGCTGGTGACTAATTTGGGAGGAATTGTGTGGTTCGGACTGTCCTTGTGACTGGGAGCTAGTGATTTCCCCTTCAGAGAGCCACATGGTTCTTAGTCATGAGATGACACCGGTCCAATGTGGCAGCCATTAACTGCTCTCAGAGCTCCATGACACGGTAACTCTGGACCGATGACTACATTTTATTCCCAATCTCAGGTGAACTGTATCTCTCCTCTCCTCTGAAAGGGGACCACACACTGGATGGCGCAAGCGGCACTTAACATCCAGATGATACATCCCTATGATATCCCCACTTCAGTTTCACAGGGTGTTGTGTTTCCCTATCAATTTACATAGAACGATTGCAAACTGCTAAGGTTCAGTGTGTCACTTCTTAACAATACCACAGATTTGATTCTGCGGTTAGAATTCAAGGAATCAATTAGGAATTGTATAGATAGATGGCCCTGACTATGACCTAACTCTTGTCCTCACTCCACAGTGTTTCCCTGTCTATCAGACAGACCGACAGACCGACAGACAGACCGACAGACAGACAGACAGACAGAGATAGACAGACAGACAGACAGACAGACAGAGAGAGAGAGAGAGAGAGAGAGAGAGAGAGAGAGAGAGAGAGAGAGAGAGACAGAGAGAGAGAGATAACTTTGCAACACACCCTCCATGCAGGCACCCACTTCCTTCTGCAAGTGCTTCCGGTCACACCTTCTGGGTGACATTGTGGTTTATTTTACAAGAAATTGTTACCAAAGATGGGGACAAAACACTATCACATGGGCTGAGCAGCTGATCTCCTGTTTCCTGTGCCTATTTGTGAGCCAAAATACTGCCTTATAGAGAAGCTGGCTGTGAACACACCCAGGCAGGCCTCATGAAACCATCTCAAGGACAGGGTGCACCACTTCTCCTCTCACCCAGGCCTAAACAACATGAGTATTGGTGGATACAGCCCTGCCCAGTCCAGCCCGGTTCCCAGCTAAAGGTAGTGCTTCACCTGATGTTGATCCTGCTTCTGTCAGCATGTAATACAATGTTAACCAATGCACAATTGAGAGCATCCTGTCGGGCTGTATCACCGCCTGGTACGGCAACTGCACCGCCCACAACCGCAGGGCTCTCTCCAGAGGGTGGTGCGGTCTGCCGAACGCATTACCGGGGTCAAACTACCCGTCCTCCAAGACACATACAGCACCCGATGTCACAGGAAGGTCAAAAAGATCATCAAGGACATCAACCACCCGAGCCACTGCCTGTTCACCCCGCTATCATCCAGAAGGCGAGGTCAGTACAGGTGCATCAAAGCTGGGACCGAGAGAATGAAAAACAGCTTCTATCTCAAGGCCATCAGACTGTTAAATAGCCATCACTAGCACATTAGAGGCTGCTGCTGCCTATTGAAATCACTGGCCACTTTAAGAAATTGAACACTAGTCACTTTAATAATGTTTATATATCTTGCACTACTCATCTCATATGTATATACTGCATTCTATTCTATAATATCTACTGTATCTTAGTCCATGCCACTCTGTCATTGCTTGTCCATATATGTATATATTCTTAAATCCCATTCCTTACTTTTTTGTGTGTATTGGGTATATGTTGTGAAATTGTTAGATATGACTGCACTGTCGGAGCTAGAAGCACAAACATTTCGCTACACATCTGCTAAACACGTGTATGTGACAAATAACATTTGATTTGATTTGATTTGAGATAGTTGCTGAGGTTGTCTCACCTAGCCAATAAACTGGTCCAGGAGCTGTCATCACAGGGAGTGGCTGGCCTCTCCAGCCCATACCTACTTAGTAACAAAGCATTGGGATCAGCAGCACCCCATCTAAATTAACATTGCCGCTGGCTGCAGCCATCAACCGAGGAGCCAGGCCAGGCCCAGGCAGGCCCCGAGCTCTCAGTCTCCACGGCTGAATCATATGTGACTTATTTCACAACATGAGTGGGATTCACTGTTGTTTATTAAATTATGTTTATGTAGCGTCGCAGAGGAAATACTTTTCTGATGTGAAAAACAGACTATTTAAATGTTCACCTACACCACTTGGGGGTGAACTATCTAACAACTGGTACGTCTGATCCACCATGACCCTATGACCTTGCCAAGGGCTCTAACTTTAGGGTACCAAGGACTGCAGAAATAACCCTAACCAAGGCAAGTGAAACCTTGTTGTGAGCACCTTCAGCCAAGTCATCTAATCAGTGAACAAATCTGATGCCGAATTGTAATGTAAAAAGTATTGTATGCATGTAATAAACATCTTTATTCTCCCACGTTAGAAAATGTGCTTTTTCAAGCAGGATCTACAAAAAACAGTAACATTGTCCATTCTGTGAGGACATCTAGGTTAAACCTTGAGTGAAGCAAAGTTTTGAGGTCAAAGACAAAACTGTGTTTGCCAGGACCATCAAAATGTGAGACTTCCTCTCTGTAGACTACAGCCTCTAAAGATCACTCACTCCTTGGATCCAAACCTTGGCTTCAGTTCAACACTGACCTCGATCTACTGCAAATTCTTGCCACTAGATGGCGATGGAGACCACTGTACAAAAACCTACTGTACAGTCCAATATTACAGAGCTCTTGGGGGACAAAGCACTCTGGGTCCTACAGTGATGGGCCCAAAAATGGTCAGATAAACAATTGATTTACATGGAATCTAGGTTTGCTGATGAATCTAGGTTTGCTGATGATCTCCATGAATTAGATTCTGCATGTAAATAGGCCAAAAATATTTTTCCTACAAAATAATAGGAATAAATATTACAAATATATATGTAGGTGGCTTTTGAGGTATGGCTCGTAGCATAAGCATTGATTACATTAACAATTAGCTATGAGTTTCATATACATGTTGACAACGTCATAATAACAATCTGAAATTGAATAATTGTATTGGCAGAAACCAACTGCTTACCAGCAACTCCTGTGGTCTGATTGAGTTATCTGTGTAGATGCAGAGTTTCTCTGCAGTTAATGGACGAGTTTCTTTCAGTTTGGATGCAAGGAACATGCAAACTGCTCCAAGAAGTTGCAGATTACACTTTCTGGTTGGAACCACGGCTAAAAATCTGTCCAAGTAGTTCATCGCCAAGGGAAAAACTTCTTCCTCACACTTCTGTTCTTCACAAACCTAGAGAGAGAGGCGACTTGTGACAATGTGCAGCATTTGGCATCATCAAATTCCAGTTATTTCAATTACCTAAAATGTGTTAAATACATGTGAAACATTAAAATGATAACGAAATCAAGGAAATAATGTAATAGCCAGATATGCATATCCATTCTTTGAAACCCTTTGGGACCTGGCCAAGAATTGAGCCCAGCCCAGAGTTGTTTGTTGCGACATCATCAATACATTCTAAATTTATTATTTTCCATGTTTGAAAAAGGTCTGTCAACAGGCTGTCAATACACTCGCATTCCTTCAGTTCAATCAGTAAGAAATGAATTCAAGTCACAATCACCCCAGCCAAAAAATACCCAAGCACCACAGTAGCCTATACGGAAACTATTTTTTTCCTTCGTCATATTTTCATAAAATATTTAAAAATATTAATAAATTGTCTACATCTACCATTTTCGCATCGTAATGAACACCAATGTCTTTCACATCAGACCCGACAATTGATAAACATGCCATTTGAAGTTAAATGCGAAATAATTGTCAAATATAATACGAAGTAGCATGTGGTTGCTCTCGAGTGCGTCACCGCCAGATCGAAATATTTTTTCCAAAATTAATATAAAATCTTTCATGAATCCTAGTCAAATAACTCTTACATGAAAATAAAGCTCAGACGGTCGAGTTTCTTTTTAGACCCTTCCCAACTGATTATGTCAAACAAAGTACAAAAAATCTAACTTAATTCCTGGGTGACGGATTTCAATGTGGAGACCAGACGGACAGATAGGCCCGCGCCCCTTCCGCCATCCGATATTTAAAAAATAAATAGAACATGTTTGCTAAATATTTCAATGATGACTATGTAGTTTAGACACTGCTCTTTCATTTCTGACACGTTTCAACTGCTGTTATAGCGTTTATGACACTGTAAAATCGTCAGAAAAACTGCAACAGTTCCTATAAAAACCAACATGGCGTTAGAATATAGGCTAGAATAGGGCAAGGATTAACTGCATACGTGTGCATGGAAATATTTAGGCAATCTTAAACATAACAAAATAATCCTGGGCACCTTTCCTAGATCAGACATATGCAAAGAAAAGCTTTATCTGGTGATATACACCACTGTAACCACATGTCTATGTATCTCAGACATAATCGTCGGTGACCTGGTTCAAATATGCTACAGATAATAAAATCATATAAATACGAGTAGCTGATTATATGCCATCAGGATTGTCTATTCGGCAATGTGATATGCAACCCTCTTTCTCACACCATGCAAACCTGACAAAGTGACAATGAAAAGTCAGATTTTTGTGTTTTGAGATGAGTCGTAGGCACGGAAATAGCCTACAGAGTTTAAGTGTTTCCGTACAAACCTCCAGCATCCAAGTCGCAACCATCCTCCTCATAAATGGCTGAATATCTTTCTGAACGCACTTGAAATAAGAACATTGTGGAAGAAAACGTTCTTCAATGGTCAACAGGCTTTGTAATACCCTGTCATCACACAGAAGATTCGGATCAGGACGAGCTCTTATGATGGTGTCCATTTCGAGGCAAAGCAGCTCCATGGTCGTTTCAGTTTTTAAAAAGTTAGGTTATTCTTGTGAAAATACTATAACAATATTGCTAGATGCAAATAAACTGGAAAGAAAGTATTTTGGAGGCATAAAAGTGAGACTGCAGGGCTCCCAAGAGTTGTCCTGCCTCTCCTTGCGAACTTTTTCCTCTCCCCCACAGTTCACTTCTACTTTCTTCTGGCTGGGTACGTTTGAAGCCTGCCTTTACTGACCATGACGCAAGCCGCAAATCTCATTATGTAGAGCAGTTGCCCAGACGCTACATGCTCTCATCAAACATTTGTTACTATTTTCCCTAGGCTACACTTTTACTTCACAACTATATACTTTATATTCATTTTATTTTATCATGATAAAAAGCTATATGACCACAATCAAAACCCCACCCCCACTCATGCGTATTTAGAAATAGAGACAATTCACTTGGATAATAGTCTATATTCATATCAATGTATTATTTATACAATTTTCATGTATTCATAAATACGTCCAGCAAGTGTTTGTAAAAGCTCGTCAGGGGTACAGTTTCTCTGCTTTCAGAGGGGATGTAGCAATGGTTCCAATTTTACAACTTTATAAACATGCATTAGGCTAATATTATTTCTGTATTTCAGTTTATTAAAAGCAAAACTAATCCTTGTTGATTTGCTTTCTCTTTTTTCTGATGAACTTAATGAACTTCTAGTCGCCCCCTCCCTCCCTCGCCGACACACACACGTACGCACGCACGCGCGCCCAAACACACACACACACACACACACACACACACACACACACACACACACACACACACACACACAGGTATACCATATACAGTATATTTTATGTAGCAGCAGTAGCAGTACGCTTTTGGCTGAATGAGATAGCGTTCTAGGAAATGCATTGCACCATAGAAAAGTTGTTGAGGCAAACTTATTTTATAGAGAACACCACGATGACAGCCTATGCTCTGTATTGGACAACTGTATGTATTAATATATAAATATCATCCATATTTTTGAGGTTGTAATCCTAACACTCATATGCAGAAAGAGATGCATATAGGACCCATGTCAGAATTAATTATAGGCAACCATAATCTTGCCTTGATAAAGATCAGTTAAATAGGTATATGTAATCTTGGAGGAGCACTAAGCAGATCTGATATAGTTTGTCAAAAAAAACTTCAGCTTGTCTCTAATAATAAGCTACCCCCAAAGATGAGCCAACTAGACTATCCTGCATTGATTGTGTTTCAAATGCAGAGGGGGCAGTCTACCGCTGCGATCAAAGTTGTTAAATTCCATTCGAGTGGGTCTCTCTATTGGTGTGAATGGCAACACTTTTGTTCTTCTACTTGTAAGAGAACTAGGAAATGATTCTTTAGAGCATTTTTTGTCTCGAGATTGTTTCCTCCCCTTGTCACAATTTGCATATAGCCAATAGGTCTTCTGCGCGCGACCGAGGCTTGCCGATTGTTACTGGGCAGACTTCTATTGCATAGGCTAACTTCGGAGCACCAGGGCTGTCCAACTCCTGTAATAATCAATTATCAATTCACACGATTAGCGAATGTTTTTGTACCCATAGCATAGAGGGAAATCGTAAAATGATATCCAACAATCAAGCAATCAAAACATTGGAAAGCAACACTTTCCAAATGGATGAAACCTCCACATCACACAAGTTTTAAAGTTTGAACAAAAAAAACGATTATAAAGAAGTTCTAAACGCTACTACAATATTGATCAAAATTGCTATAACTTGTTTATTACGCAACAATGAGAGTAATATAGCATCGGCTGCTACTGTTTCTTAATTGGTTCCATGATAACATTTTATATCATAGCAAAGATGACCTGCGCTTATAGGATAAAGCAATGGATAAAGGAGTAAAAGCTATACCAAACCACACACATGGAGAGAGGACAGGAGGGATATATAGAGAGCCAGCTCTTGCAGAATATACACACCAGTAAAATGACTATTTAGTGAAAATAACTATGTGTAATAATGAATTGATAATCAAATGACAGACTACATTCTCAATCCCTTTCCATAAGTTATTAAATTCATGAGGATTGTCCCTGGAAGCTCAAGCACCAGTGGGATGTTCTCAGAATCTTGCTTTATTCTCATCCTTCTATTACTAATGTTACAATGCAACTTTGGCACCAATGACCAGGGCTGTAGACTTCCTCCGACATTCTTTATGCAAAGATGTCCTGCCGCAAATTCTTTAAACGTGCTCTTATCTCGTTACGTCCAAAAACAAGGGCAAGAGCAAAATAAGAAAGACAATGTTTGTGTAGTCATCAAAGACAATACGGGAAGTCTTTCAATGAAGGATAGTATAGGCTTTAGCCTACCAGCCTACACATCCAGCAAGTTGCTCGTTGTGTGGCAGCAGTGTATAGGGGGTTCCCACCTGTTCCTCCAGTCCCTGACGCATTTCAACGAATCACTCTGTGATAAATTAATTCCCTCAGCGAAACAGAATAAGCAATCAAAATTCTACATAGTGCAAACCCATCCGCGCCATTATGACTAATCTTGAAGGTTCACATAGGATGCATAAAACTACGCAGAAATAGACTAACATTGAGCCAACATGCACACAATCATGTCCGATAGAAGTTTCCACCTCACCAGACGGGACAGATGCGCCTTGATGGCCATGCGTCTCAACCATGTCCTCGGATGGCAAAGTGCATTTGGTTTGTTATAATGCCCAATAAAATGCATATTTCAACTTATTTCTCATATTTTCTGCTTTCATAACGGTGATTTATTTAAGGCGGTTCATGTTCTGATTGCTTGCATCTCATGACTTGCTCATGCACCTGTCACTGCCAAATGACACACACACACACTGCCATCAGAAATTACTTCTTAATATACATTTCTTGGACAGCAAAAGTTTAACAAAGGGAAAAATAAAGACAGCCAAATGAGTCCATTTGTTATATTCCAACAAAGACAAAAGTTTTGCTGCAGCTTTATCGAGTTATGGAAGTATGAAAGAAGTATGAACGAACCATGCTGTATTTTCGCGGAGTAATGACGTCATCACAGGCGCTGCGCGTCAAACGCAGAATTGGGCGGAGGCGCATGTTATTTCCCGGATGCATGCAATTAACATGATATCCAATGGGACACACACACACACACACACACACACACAAGGCAATTGCAACATTTGTTTCGAACTTTATTCTGAGTTGAAAAGGTTAAAAAAGATATCTCACCTCATAGTGTGAATGCAATGGTTTGTCTCACTCAAAGTTCACTCACTCAAAGGGGCATGATACAGCCCTACATAAGGTTTTAAAATAATGGGAAGATAATGCTAGCATTTGGGCTAGGCTGCATACCAAAAGCACAAGTGGGTTGATGACCAAAACAAGAATTAAGATGCTTTTAAAATGTGTCAAACAAACAGACAGGGGCATTTTTATCAGTGAGGAACCTTATGAGTTTAAAGTTTCAATGCTCCACCTTTTTACATTCACAATTCAGAACATTTACATATTTGAACTGAAAACCATCTAGAATTTCTATACCAACAAACATATGTTGTACTTTCAAATTCATAAATGTTGATAAGTTTATAACATATTTCTGATATTGTTTATCTTCCCTGTGAGCATGTTAACAGATAAATTATACATAAATGAAACAATCATAATGTGTTCATTGGGCTTTTACATGGAACTATATTTGAAACTACTACAAAATAATTATCAAACAGGTTAAAAAAGATATTCTGAAAATAAGGCATTTCCACAATGTTACTAAACTAGGTTGTGTAAAAGTTGGCTGATTTATAGATAACACCAATTATGGCATGTGATAGAAGCATGTTTTGAAAAACATATGAAATGTGGTTACCTATAGATAATTCTAACACACCTGCAGCTATGTGCAACAGCTGCAAGCTGTAATTAGTGCAGTTCTGCAATGAAAAATAACATCTTTCTAACTAGATAATTAACATGAATGAAAAAAAAAAAACACATTTTGTTTTTCACTTACAATTAAACAATCGAATAAATGGAACACGTAACTAGATATTTCTCACATACCATATTAGAGGGCAAAAAGTTAGAAAGTGGCAAATCCACTCTGTAGGTTCTTGGTTTGAATGCCGTTATATCATTTCAGACTGTATGTACGAATAATATATATTATATTTGTCCTTTTATTATGTTTCGTCTTTGAAATTATTTTTAAAAGACTGTGTAAATGTTATTGATAACCTTGTTAATAGTGTTTATAGAATCGGTTGATTGAATATAAATAAATTAAACCATTTAATTATTTATAACATAATACATTAATAAAGTTCACTATTTCATTTCCTAAATTAAGATATATACTAATGTTATTTATAGAAAAAGCTTTTGTTCTCTTATTCCATACTTTTGGCCTGGTGTGAACATTTTTACTGTTTATGTTGTTATAAAAACAGCAATTGAAACCAAAAAAGTGTTGTGTTACATGTGATAACTGAAAATATGAGAAAATATTCCCCCAAAATGGCCAAATAAATAGAACATATTGTTGATGTAAAAAAGATGACCATAAATCAACCATGACAGGGTCAGAAATGTTGAATGACAAAAACCATGTGCATACACTGTAAATCCAATTGATAGGAGGTTCAACCACTCTGCCCCACTCTGTGTTTACATTTGTTCACCATTCACTAACTGCCTCACTGGCTAACTCCAAAAACAGTTAACTGCAAAGGAATGTACTGGTGTAACACACACACCATTCACTCTTACTTATATAAGGTCATTCCAATAGTTCATTAAGACGTTTTAACACTAGGAACTCCCCTGACATTGTCATCTCTAAAATATCATCTATGGAACATAAAGCAGAACCTTATCAGGCGAGTTATTTTGTTGACACTTAAAGTAATGCAAACTATTTCCTGCATTAACCTGAGCTTGAACATCTGTTATAACTCCCAAGTCTCCTTAGCTTGTCACACACAAGTAACA